AAAGCTAGACAATGGGCTATCTTTGATCTGCCCACCACGGGTATCGAAACCCGGTTTCAAGCGTTGTCAGCCCGCAGACATACCGCTGTGCCACTGGGGGGGAGTGAGAGAATAAAGTAGATTATCAGTTAAATCGTTAAAAGTAGCTAATTGTTTCACAGAAACAAAACCAAGACACATAAGAAAAGTTAAAAAAACAGTATTGTATAAAACGTCGTAATTCTGACTTGTTAACCCATTAACAAATCAAATATGGAAATAAAAAATGAAAAGTTTGTAAAAAACACTAATCAGCGTGACTAATAGCTCTTTGAAAATGTGACAGAAACGTGATTTTCTTTGTATCATTTCACTTAAATGATTTGATATCAAATATGGATAAAGAACACTGATTTTTTTGTGGCTAGTTAGTGTACTAAGACTAACAGACTAAATAGAAATAGAAACGAAAACCTCCTGTTACTCAAAAGCATATCATATGAGAAACTACAAGGTTTCTTTCGTAACCCTATTTTAATAAATATTCTTTCTATTTATACTGATAAGTGCTACAAGTGTATTTAGTAAAGTCACGTGAATTATATCCGTTTCTGCTTGTATTTCCTGTCGTCGGATAATGACAACGAAACATCAACAAATTTCATCGAAAACAGGTGAAACTGGCAGTGCGCACTACGAAGTGGCGTTCGATTCCAACCAGACTAGAGTGATCAGTTTTTCAATCTTTTGTTTTAAACGATACTTCTCCTTTGAAAGTTGAACACGTTTTTAAAATGTGTTAATTACACGAGTTGATGCTCGCACGGCGGAGTTATCCAACACATCATAACTACAGCTACTATTGTTATAGTAATGACTATAACTGAAATAATCTATGTTATTAAATAATCTAAGTCGTTTTCTAATTTATTTTTTTTTGTCTCTCACAAATGATGTGTAATTAAGCTACAGTAACGGTTGAGCTTTCCTATACATTCTAGAACATGTCTACTGTTTCAAGGAAAATACTTGGAAAGGAGATAAGATTTAGTAGACATGACATGAGGACAGAAAATAGGATAACCTAAAGAGAAGAAGAAACCCTAAAACCTAGTGTGTAGTGGAAGTTGTTGGTACAGATGATACGACCAAAGGCACAGAGGGTAAGGGTGTGAGCATTTCGGCTACAGACGTTGTCTAACATTTCCTATGGCATATTCGTACAGCTGACTGATGGTTTGTAAAGAAAGCTAGTGTTGATATATTCATTGAACAACGAGAATTCTTATTACAGGAGTTTTTCACCCCTCGGATGAACAAATCATATTGCGTTTCCTTCTTGTTTAATAATGTATAATTCATAGTGTTAAGACGCCAGATGTTAAAAAAAAGCCTACACGTTTCCGAGGAAGACTGAAATGTTTTGAGAAAATTGTCCACGAGTCTTTAAGAATTTCTCGATAAAAACTTAACACAAAATCTGTTCAAGATTCTACGTCATCATTATATATTTGCTAGATTCCATGTTTGGTGATATGCAGATTGAAAGATCGTCAACTCGGGATAACAGAAACCTGCAGCACCAACCAAGTTACGTTTAAAATAGGCGTTCACACAGGTGTCGTGCGACGAACCGTCTCAAACGAGAAATCCCGAGAGTACTCTCTGTTGATATCGGCTGTCGTCGAAACAGTATAACACGTGGTGTCCCTAGAAAAGGGAGGGAAGTTGTAGTAAGCCAGATCCCTCATTGATTCTGATAGTGGTATGCCGGGGTTCGTGTTGCGGCGCCCTCTACTGGTAGACGGGCAGGGAGAAGCTTCTCGTGAGACATCCCGCGCTCGACTGTTGCGCCGACCACGTGGGTGGCGCCTGCATGGAATATGATCCTCTCCAGCTTGTAAAAAATCTTCATATTTCAATCTATCCGCGCATTTTTTGGAATCCAACTTATACCACTGAATATACAAGTATACAGCAAACGTTCCGGATAATTCACACAATAAGATACTAGCAATGGCTAGGGTGAAAGTGTAACCATAGCGATATTTAAATATCGGTCCTTGAAAAGAAGATTTCGGTTGGAGTTTACTCCCAACTTCAGCTTTAAAACTTGAAATATAGATGACCACACCCATAAGATCGAGTAAACCTTAAATACAAAAAAAAATATGATATACACATATATATATTCAGCTTTGTAATATCTAAGACATTTGTATAACATCAAAATAAAATTAGAAAAATGTCAATAGAAAATATTTCCAAATGCTAGTTTATTTAGATTCGTTCGTATATAAGATGTAACGTATTTCATACCTACCACTAATCATAAAACATATGACAACAAACTGTGATTTATTGGTAAGAAATATTTCTTTGTTTTGAATTTCGCACAAAGCCGTCCCTAATTTAGCAGTGTAAGACTAGAGGAGAGGGTAGCTAGTCATCATCACCCACCGCCAACGAATAGTGGAAGTGATTGTCATATTATAACGCCCCCAACGCTGAAAATTCTAGGCGTCCTCCAATATGGAAAATAGTTAAAGTTTGTCAATATATTTAGTATGAAAAATGTTTTTACCTGCATAATCAATCAACCTGTGATGTCAAAGTTACTTTGGTTGAACAAGAGTACGTTTTCTAACACAAGGTATATAATATGTATCTCATTATCTAACATGGTAAGGAAACTAATAGAAATACTTAGGATTCTAGTCGTTAAGGAGAGTGACCTAATATTTACCGTTAAGCTACGGATAGGAAGATCCAAGGTTCGAGCCCGAGATATGATTCTCAACTCGCTCTGCACTTTCAGCTGACTGTTTGAGCTTTTTTTTGTATCAGCATTACTAAAGTAGAAACTGACTATACCTGAATGTTTGAGTCTCTAACATGGCGTTTTAGCCCTTGAGTTGCATAACTTATGGGTTCCCAAGCTGGCCGCCGCAGACAAGAGTCGTAGGTAAGGAGGGGGAGTGTTAGCAAATATTTAAAATACACAGTAGTGTTAAGGTATGCAGTATCTATTGGTTCATGGAGAGTGGGTCTTAGTCAGTATGCGAAATATTCTGGGGGAAAAAAGGGGGTTTGTGCTGAGAAAGCTGGGAAACCTCTGGAATGAAGTTCCATTCTGGTTGAAAACACTAAATAACAATTGCAAGGAAAACTCGGTTCACTATGGATAATGTTTCGGTTTATGGACGAGAAAGTTCATTATAATCTTTAGTGTAATAACCTAGTTTATGGACGAGAAAGTTCATTATGATCTTTAGGGTAATAACCTGGTTTATGAACGAGAAAGTTCATTATGATCCTTAGGGTAATAACCTAGTTTATGGACGAAAAAGTTTATTATGATCCTTAGGGTAATAACCTAGTTTATGGACGAGAAAGTTCATTATGATCTTTAGACTAATAACCTGGTTTATGAACGAGAAAGTTCATTATGATCCTTAGGGTAATAACCTAGTTTATGGACAAGAAAGTTCATTATGATCTTTAGGGTAATAACCTGGTTTATGAACGAGAAAGTTAGGGTAATAACGTAGTTTATGGAAGAGAAAGTTCATTATGATCCTTAGTGTAATAACCTAGTTTATGGATGAGAAAGTTCATTATGATCCTTAGTGTAATAACCTAGTTTATGGATGAGAAAGTTCATTATGATCCTTAGGGTAATAACCTAGTTTATGGACGAGAAAGTTCATTATGATCCTTAGTGTAATAACCTAGTTTATGGACGAGAAAGTTCATCATGATCTTTAGGGTAATAACCTAGTTTATGAACGAGAAAGTTCATTATGATCTTTAGGGTAATAACCTAGTTTATGGACGAGAAAGTTCATCATGATCCTTAGGGTAATAACGTAGTTTATGGACGAGAAAGTTCGTTATGATCCTTAGGGTAATAACCTAGTTTATGGATGAGAAAGTTCATTATGATCCTTAGTGTAATAACCTAATACAAATATACAAACTGATCTTTAGAGTAATGAGAAAATTTCTACCTAACTTACCACTTGTTATTTCTAATAAAACTATATTTTAATAATATATGGGACGAGTAATTCAATACATATATACACAGCTAGTCAAGATACAAGTACAAACAACAACCAGATTTGATATGATATTTAGAGATACAATAATGAAAGAGATAGCAATTAAGGCTTGAAAAAATTACGTCGATTGTTTGTTTGAAGTTAAGCACAAAGCTACACAATGGGCTATCTGTGCTCTGCCCACCACGGGTATCGTTTGTTTGTTTGTTTTGAAGTTAAGCACAAAGCTACACAATGGGCTATCTGTGCTCTGCCCACCACGGGTATCGTTTGTTTGTTTGTTTTGAAGTTAAGCACAAAGCTACACAATGGGCTATTTGTGCTCTGCCCACCACTGGTATCGTTTGTTTGTTTGTTTGTTTTGAAGTTAAGCACAAAGCTACACAATGGGCTATCTGTGCTCTGCCCACCACGGGTATCGAAACCCGGATTATAGCGTTGTAAGTCCGCAGACATACCGCTGTGCCGCTGGGGTGGGGGCAAATAACGACGATTAAAATGTGATGATTTTCCTATGTTATTTCTTCAAAGAACAGGGGTAACCGTACAAGGAAAACAAGTGAAGTTTGTTAGGTGGGAAATGAAAAGTAGGCCTAGTTTCTTCGTTCGAATTTATACGAGTTATTATTTTCCAATTTAATGCGGCAATATGAAGAATAATTTCATTTGATAAATAATTAATTATTAATTTCCACTGTTGTAGTTCACGTAATATGCCATTAGGAATCGTATAGTAGGTTAGATTTGCATGTATTTCTTAATTAAAACAAACATACAAGTCTCGGCCTTCATATTTGTTTGTTTTAGAGCAAAGACACATTGGGCTTTCTACTGTGTCCACTGCGAGAGGCCCGGCATGGCCAGGTGGTCAGGACACTTGACTCGCATTCTGAGGGTCGCGGCTTTGAAGCCCCGTCCTACCAAACATGCTCGCCGTTTCATCCATTGGGGCGTTATAACGTGACGATCAATCTCACGGTCAAGAGGTGGCAGTGAGTGATGACGGCTAGCTGTCTTCCCTCTCTAGTCTTTTACTGCTAAATTATCGACGGCTAGCGCAGATAGCCCTCGTGTAGCTTTGCGCGAAATTCAAACCAAACCAAACCACTTGTTAAATAACTCAACAATGTGACGGTCAATCCCACTATTCGTTGGTAAAAGAGTAGCCCAAGAGTTGGTGGTGGGTAGTGATGACTAGCTGCCTTCCCTCTAGTCTTACACTGCTAAATTATGGATGGCTAGCGCAGATAGCCCTCGTGTATCTTTGTGCGAAATGTAAACCACTGCTGGAAATTGATTTTAGCATTGTAAGTCCGGGGGACTAGCCTCCATGTTAAGCTCTTAAGTAACTATTTACGAACAGTTCTAATTATAGAGTAATTAGTCGTAAATTAATGAAATGTTCAAATTGATTTGGTATTTTTTTGGCAACAAATATATATCAAAACGTAGAGGATTATTAGTGAACGTAAAAGACTTACAAGGTACTCATAAGGCAATCCCCATAATTAAAATGATTAAGGCTTACAAATTACTCTGAGAATCTAAAGTTGTATTCTGGAAAACTTGGACAAGCAAACAGATTGTTTCAAAACCATATCACACTACATATCTAAAGCGATTTTCTTCCAAATTAGTATTGGTTTTATTTCTCTTCTTTTGCTTTTATTTCATCAATACTCCACCCCACCCCCACCCCCTTTTCGGTGGCTCAGGGGTAAGTATGAGGTATTATAACATTAAAAATTGGGTTTCAATACCCACAGTGGGAAAAAATACAGTAATTTGAACAATGGGAGATTGATGGAAATTTCACTAACACGATTGGTGGAGACTTGACTTACACGATTGATGGAGACTTGACTAACACGATTGGTGGAGATTTCAATAACATGATTGGTGGAGATTTCACTAACACAATTGGTGGAGATTTCACTAACACGATTGGTGAAGATTTTACTAACACAATTGATGGAGATTTCACTAATACAATTGGTGGAGACTTCACTAACACGATTGGTGAAGATTTTACTAACACGATTGATGGAGATTTCACTAACACGATTGGTTGAGATTAATAACTCAGAATATCAAAAGGCATACTGGCCACGTTCTGTGAGAGTTTTTGAAACACCTTGCACTATGACTAAACTTTCTTTAAGAAACTTATGATCAAAGCAATAAGTCTTTTGAGATTCAGTTTCTTTAGGACAAGCGATTCTTGAGATTTCATCATTTTGAATGTGTGGTTTTCTTTAATATCGCCTTATCTCTCAGAAGATATTTTGACGTAATTAAGAAAAACTTCATCAGTTCATATTCTACACATATTTTACTGCTTGGGATAAAATGCTTGAGCCTCCATAACAATCCTTATTCTCAGCAATAAGATAGTTAAATTGAAAATTCCTTACCAGTTGATATAGTTTCCTATTTCACCCATAATGTTTTTTAAATCAGTTTTTTTTTTACTCATCTACTAACTACTTTGAAATTACGTCACTAAAAGTCCAATACTTTGTAATTACATCACTACAAGTCCTTTGATAAGTATTTTTGTTTTGTTCGGTAGAACGTTCTAGGTCAAAAGTAGATGTTGAGGAAAAATGAAATATGCAATACGTGGACGTTTTGTATCTTCTATAACAATACAGTTGTCTTTTCTAGTTGCGAAAAATACCCCCAAGTTGAGATGTTGAAAAAGCATATTACGCATAACAAAATTTTTTCTCTGCTTAGTGAAGGAATTTAGAGCTTTTAGTGCCATTTAACATTTGAATACATTTGGCTTCACTTTACACATTGTTGCAATATATTTGGCCTCACTTTGCACATTGTTGCAATATATTTGGCATCACTTTACACATTGTTGCAATATATTTGGCCTCACTTTACACATTGTTGCAATATACCTGGTTCACTTTGCACATTGTTGCAATATATTTGGCTTCTTTTTGCACATTGTGCAATATATTTGGCATCACTTTACACATTGTTGCAATATATTTGGCATCACTTTTTACATTGTTGCAATATATTTGGCATCACTTTGCACATTGTTGCAATATATTTGGCATCACTTTACACATTGTTGCAATATATTTGACATCACTTTACACATTGTTGCAACATAGTTGGCATCACTTTACATATTGTTGCTCAAAGAGTTCGATGCTGCGAATTTGGGCTCTTTTATTATAAAATATTGAATGTTTCGAGAACCTTGTAAGATTTCGAATGTGTTTACTGGTGGGTGAATTACGTATTAATAGTTTAATTTGGAGTAGGGGGAGAATTTTATTCTTAGAATATATCGTTGTTGATGATATGCTACATTTTATTGTTTGTTTGACCAATTTTCGTCAAAGCAAGCATAATTTTTATATGATAGACTCGAAGGCAGCCATCAAATTAAAACTATCCACCGCCAACTCTTGGACTATTCTTTACCAACGAATAATTGGATTGGCTGTCACATTATAACGCACACACAGTTGAAAACGCGAGCATGCTTGGCGACGGGTTTTGATCTCGCGACACATAGTAACAAATTTGACTAATTAAATATACTGTTTTTGCATTTTTTTCTTAAAAAGATTAAAATCCATTGTTTTGTCAGATGAGGCCTCCCCGCGATGTTAACGATAATGTAGGCCATAATCCCAATGAAGTATCATGACGTTCAGACAACGAAGGACATTTAGGTTAGCACTAACTCTAGATACTAGGCTAACAATAGAAAATAATCCTTAAAATAAAAATATATATCTCAAAACATTAAAGAAATATCGGAGTATATAATTTCGGAACGCTATTGGTTTGTTTTATGCACCAACGTAGTCGTGCTGTGTTTGTTTGTAATTAAGCATAAAGCTACACAATGGGCTATCTGTGCTCTGCCCACCACGGGTATTGATACCGGGATTCTAGCGTTGCAAGTCCGCAAACATACCGCTGTGCCACTAGGGTGCTCGTGGTGTGTTTAAAACGCCATTTGTACATGTAAGAACCTGAATAAAATTGGCAAATGTAATGAAGGGATGATACCTACAGGGATAACGTTGTTCAAAACATTTCAAAATTTAATTTACGTACGGATATTTAAAAAAGAAAGAAAAAGAACAATTAAAAGCTTCCATAAACAAATATATCAGGAAAGAAGTCCTGAAAAAGAAAACAAATATGAAAAGTAAAACAGCGTGACGGTATTTTATGATTTTTCGGTCTTTCAGCACTATAGGACACACAGTCGTGAACAAACTGTTAGAAACACCCAGCTATCCGGTACAAATATTTATCTGCCGTTCTCTCGGTAGCAGCCAGAATCAATTTGTTGTGGCCACGTGCCACGAGAAGATAGTGGGAGTTCTAAATGATTTTGGAAACATACTGATGACGAAAGATTCAATTCTAAATGGATTGGGAAACATACTTATGACGAAGGATTCAATTCTGAATGGATTGGGAAACATACTTATGACGAAGGATTCAATTCTAAATGGATTGGGAAACATACTGATGACGAAGGATTCAATTCTAAATGGATTGGGAAACATACCGATGACGAAAGATTCAATTTTAAATGGATTGGGAAACATACTTATGACGGAGGATTCAATTTTAAATGGATTGGGAAACATAACGATGACGAAAAATTCAATTCTAAATGGGTTGTAAAACAAACTGATGACGAAAGATTCAATTCTAAGTGGGTTGTAAAACATACTGATGACGAAAGATTCAATTCTAAATGGTTTGGGAAACATAATGATGACGAAAAATTCAATTCTAAATGGGTTGGAAAACATACTGATGACGAAAAATGCAATTCTAAATGGGTTGTAAAACATACTGATGACGAAAGATGCAATTCTAAATGGGTTGGAAACATACTGATGACGAAAGATTCAATTCTAAATGGATTGGAAAACATAATGATGACGAAAGATTCAATTCTAAATGGATTGGGAAACATACTGATGACGAAAAATTCAATTCTAAATGGGTTGGAAAACATACTGATGACGAAAGATTCAATTCTAAATGGATTGTAAAACATAATGATGACGAAAGATTCAATTCTAAGTGGGTTGGGAAACATACTGATGACGAAAGATTCAATTCTAAATGGATTGGAAAACATAATGATGACGAAAGATTCAAAGCAAGAACATTTCAATTAATATTCAGCCATATTTCGATCCACTCTCCAATCCAAGTTCTTAAGTTATAGCAAAGCTTCACATTATTTTATTGAATCAAATTCAGCTCAAAGAAAATTCTCTTCCTACTACTGGCTAAAAAAAAAGAGCGTGTCACAGTTAGTTTATTATTCCACCACCCCCTCAGGGTCAGAAAAAAAAGTACGTAAAAAAACAATAAAGCAAAATAAACATTTCTGGTCTAATTGATTCCTTCTTTTACTTGCTGTTTTATTTTCTTTTTAAATAAAGAAGGTATTCAATATAAGTTGATAAAATTTGGCTTTTTGTGTCAAATAGCCAAGATCATATTTTGTTATTTTTTTGCAGATATTTTGGAAGATCTAAAAATAAAAATTTTAACGCTGTTTAAGACTTGAAAGTATGTGAAAAGGGATAACCATCGGATTTTGATTTTTTCAAATGCGTATAACGCCAAGAAGGGTTTGTTAGGTGTTCTTTAAATAAAATAAGTAAACAAACTATGCATTCTGGGTGAAAACCGAAACGTTGATAAAAAAAATAATGTAAGCAGTCTAATATCTGAAATCAGTCGTTTGTTTACTTATCTATTCCAATCTTTCGGATTCGTTTTACTTTTCTTGTTTCGTGATTATCTCTAGAGTTGTATATTTGAGTTTTTATTACTTCAAAAATGAAATAGAATAATATATATAGGTTATTGTAATAAAAATATTCAAAGTTGTAAATATAATATTTTTCCCTAAGAATTAGGTCTAAAATTTAATATTTTAAACCAAGTAGGGAGCAAAATAAATAACTATAATTTTGTTTGTTTGTAATTAAGCACAAAAGTACACAATAGGCTATCTGTGCTCTGTCCACCACGGGTATCGAAACCCAGTTTCTAACGTTCTATATCCTCAGACATACCACTGTGCCACTGGGGAGTTAAATATATAGAAACACTTTATCAGCCATCTTAAAATTTAATCAATTTGTGCTTGTACTTTAGACCCGTAGATTT